ATTGGTGTCTTAATTTCGTCTAAAATTTGACCGTCAATTGATCACAAAAGAAAGAGGGTTTTAAGAAGCTAAATATAAGTGAAAATAAAATAGTTGATAAAAAAACAAATAGTACATATTAAGATACAATGTTAAGTTAGCTTCATGGGAAATATGGTTTGAATTGGTTASTTTTTACGCCGTCTAGTGCTTATTGAAGTTGGCTTTCGATTTATGCATATTAATTAGGAAAAATCAATATTTTAATCGATTTTTCAAACTTTCGTAAATTTCACAAAAATAAAATTGCACTTGCACTTTTTGATCGTGTTTTCTGAAATACCTATCTATAAAGGTTCTTTTGGTGAAATAAAATCAACTTTGATTTTTTGCAACTGTCTTGGGTTTCTCGACCGTTACAGACATACGCTCTTATGAAATAACATAGTTTTAAAGCCAGGAGGTATAATAGTATAATAGGGAAATGCTGTGTCCAAGGTGCTGAATACAGGGGCCGCGGAAGGGGTGGGGCAGGGGGGCTACGGCCCCCACTTTTTCCCTTTCYCTATACTATTCTTTTTAACTCGTGGATACGTGAAGCGTAGAAACGAGTTATTGTTATGGGTCTGAATATGCAAATGTGTCACTCGCTAAGATGTTTGCAGATCGATAATTAAACGTTTAGCGATCATCTTACGTCATCTGATTACGAACGTTACACAACACTAACAAGCATATAACTCTTATTCAGTATAGACTACTTTCACTATTTATACGAGGAAATGAACTGCTGATGTTTCATGTGGGATACTTCTAGCACTGTGGACCCACTGTGCACATGTGCACACTTGCACTTAAATTAATCATTGGATTATTTATATCAAAAGAATCAAGTAAAGATGCAACTTGAAGTAAAATAATACAATTATTGCCTAAACTAAAATTCCAATAAGTCAAACTCTTTTTTGCTGATGCAATAAAGTAAACAGAAACGCTTATGTACAATCGTCAACATATTTAGATCCTTTTAGAAGTCTTGTAGGTAGAGCCGGATTTTTTTGTATTTTATTTTGTAGGTAGAGCTGAATGCATCGAAAAAAGAAATTTCCATTAGATTTCAAAACAAGAGTCATGGTTCTCAAGTCAAGTTCGGCTAGTTTTTTCATCCAAATAAGACGTTCTGAATAAACAGTAAATTGATCAACTTGAGCAACTTGAAGTCAAATAATAGGACTAACGCCTAAACTAAAATTCCAATGAGTCAAACCTTTTTTGCTGATGCAATAAAGTAAACAGAAACACTTATGTACAATCGTCAACATATCTAGATCCTTTTAGAAGTCTCCAATTTTTAGGATACCAACTTACCTGTGCTGCAATGTGACTTAGAGGAAGATAACTGACAATATGTTCTTCTCCTTTCTGACCAGCATTCACATGTTTACATGCCATCTTTGCTGTCCATGTCATCTGATCATACCAAAAAATACCAGTTAATACATTCCAGGTACAGTATACTTCTTGCTTTATTGGTCACTTAAATGATTCATGTCTACCCTAACCAGATAGAATTACTATAACAACACAATACTCACGTTATCATGTGATAACATTACTCCTTTTGGGTTTCCTGTGGTTCCACTCTGTAAGACAGTATAAACGTAGCATGTAAATTACAATTATCTCCTTTCCATCTTTAGTGGTACAAAGACACTAAATCCCTTAGATTATGTTTTGATAAAAATTAATGTCAGCTAGATCTTTATCATGAATTTCTTGATTTATTTTGGTAGAACATAGAAAAACAAGAAATTTGTACTGTTAAGTAACATATATTATTATAAAATAAATTAAATAGTACGCACGCTGTGATTGGTTGACAGCCATGTTTGCATGAGGGTATGTAAACACAGTTGTGACGTCRCAACTTTCGTGTTTTCCCGGTACAAGTTCAAAAATTTACAGTTTGTTTCGAGAAAAAAAAACACGCCCCCATGTATTTTGAAGACGAAGTTCCAAATTTTGACTTGTGTCAGGGCCACAGGCATAACCCTATGGTCTCATGCAGGTCTTTCTGATCATAATATCATGACAATCTCTCTTTGGTCACCGCAAAGAGAATTCCCTCAGGAGCTACAACACGGCCCCAYACGTCCTTCATCAGGACAGCTTCGGTTGTTCAGGGACGTGCTTTCTCAGGATTTAAATCCACCGCGCCCGATAAGGAATACAACTATTTCAAAGAAACAGTCAGCAGCTTCAAACTTTTTCCAGCGATAGCTCTTCAGCTCCACAAAATATCTTCTCGAAGCAAGACGAAACATTCAACTTCGCTGCCAT